CATGAAGTGTCTTCATACCATTTCAGCAGTTTCAGACCACTTTAAAATCTTTCATTCTGAAATTTCAGGGGCTCGTTAACCAAAAATGGGGAACAACGGATCTAGTTCAGTTGATACACCAATGAATTGTTGAAATATAGACATGAGTTCGAACTCTATTGGAAATAGGTGAATAATGTGCTATAGTTATGATTAGTCTTGGGCCGGTGAGTTCGATGAAGAGATTTGAGTCCGCGATCCACAACTCCAGGCCAGCTGGGTTTCCAGAAGCCCGCCTGATCTTGTCAGCTGGGTTTCCAATGATCAAATAATGTTTTGGTGGTCAAGGTAGGTGGTGAGATTAACGCTTACCGTGAAAGTTTATGTTAGCGGTGCAAAAGGAGGAGCGGGAGGTTTAGACAAGGAAAGATGGTGGGGATGAAAGAGACGATGTTGACTGAGGTGAAGGAGACAGAGAGTCTACGATAGAAGAGGAGGTAGGATATGCATTGTCGTGGCCATCATTGTCATTAAGATATTCATTTTCATACGGGTGCATGGTTGCAACTTGAATGCTGATTAACAAGTTCCTCGTCGGGATGTTGATTCCTTGTGCTTGCGCTCCACACCAAGATTGTTCCCACTATCGTGCTCTTAGTCATCCTCATCAGGATTGTGCTTATCGTTATGTCTATCGTGATTGTGTTCGTTAAGGTTGTTCGGAGGATCACGTTCCCGTCTCAATTGATCACGCTCCTCGCCTCGACAATGATGTCCTTGATCGTTGAAGTGGTTGAGTGCGTGCATCTGGGATGGTTATAGCAGGAGATTCATTCACATTTTGCCCGAATTCGGTCACAGGAGCAAGCAACGGTGACGAGTGTATCTTCTCGGGTTCCGAGTGAACATGCATTTCCATCTTGCACATTTGGTGAGTAGTGAAGAAGGGTCCATTATCGAAGGGCTTCAACTCGTCATCACATCCGCAATCTTAGTGGTAGTCATCATCACTGCTTGTGACGTTACACTGATCGTGATCGTTGGGGTGACCATACTGCTCGTGGACCCAATGTTGTACCACGTTATCGTCTCCATCCGTGAGATCGCTATCGGATTTACTTTGACATGATAACCTTGGTCACATTTCTCGCTGTAGTAGTCGTGTGGCTGCTCATGTTCGTCATCGTGATCCATGTGTTGTTCAGTGTCGCAATCTCGGTCTTGGTCATGCTCACAGAGGCGGTCGTGTCGTTCGTCCTTGTAATTAATATTCTCTTGTTCCTCACGGGTGTTTTCATAATCGCAGTTCTTCGTCATGATCGGGATTGTGTTGTGCATCTTCATTATTGTGATTGCGTCTGTCGGCTTCCTTATTGGTATCAAGCGGGTGATCGTCGTTGACATGATAGTGCTTGTTTTGGGCAGACGTACGTATCCGGCTGGGTTCTAAGGGGAGATTCACTCCCACCTTGCATGATTGGTGGGTCAGGCAACAAATTCAATGTTGGGTTTGTGTGGCGCATATACGCAGGGAAAGAGAGAGAATGATGCTCTTTTGGGAACATTCGTCCACGCTCATCATCAAGGTGCACCAACTCATCATCGTATTCGTCATCATCGGGATCTTCATCATACTTATTAAATAACGCGCGTTGATGAAGTTAAAATTTTTGTGGTGTATCTTCCCACGTTGTGGCAGAAGATTAAATCTTATTTGCTCATTTGTTTAATATCGAGGGTGGGTCGCACGATTGCTGTTTATATGTGTTAGCTCGGCTGCATCGCAAATTTTCCCCAAGAATTCAACGTTGGGCTTGTGTGGCGCATATGCGAAGGGAAAGAGAGAGAAGGATGCTCATTTGGGAACAATCGTCCACGCTCATCATCAAGGTGCACCAACTCGTCATTGTAATCGTCATCATCGGGATCTTCATCATACTCGTCAAATTGCGCGAGTTGATGAAGTGCAAAATTTTGTGGTGTATCTTACCATGTTGTGGCGGATGATTAAATCTTATTTTGCTAATTTGTTTAATACCAAGGTTGGGTCGCGCGGGTGCTGTTTATAGGTGTTAGGTCGACCACATCGCAAATTTTCTCCGAGATCCTATTGTCTTGCTATATCACGCTCTTCATCTTGGATGTCCTCATGCTCGTGGTCATCTTGATCACCCTCGTCTTTGGTACTCGCGCTCGTCCGGGAGGTCACATCGCTGTCAGAAATAATCGTCATTGTGTTCCTCATCACGTTGTTCGTGCTATCACCGCACGTAGTTTTATGCTCATCATCGTGGTCAAGGTTGTATTGCTACCTCCTTCACAATGTTTGTTGTTTTGTGTTCGTTATGCTTATCTACATGTTGATGTGCTAGTCAGACCATCAATGTTGTGTTACCATTGGATTGACTTCGTCGAGGTTTGACCGGTTCCTTGGGAGTCGAAGAAGGAGAAAAAAAACTCGGAGGTAACAAAAGAAGAAGGAATTAAGGTGTGGATGAGCTCAATAAAGAGAGGCATAAAAAGATTGTTAGGAGTCGAGGTAAGGGCCGTTGTGCAATAAAGAAGGGGTGGAGGCGTAGGACTTGCCTGTTTCAGTCTGCGTGCATAAGGTTATGATTTTGACCAGGTGCATTGAGCCCGGAAGGAATGGAGGTAAAACGGAGGAAATATGAGGGATACGGGAATACGAGGAGTAGGATTGGAGAAAAGGGTGATGTAGTGCGATTCGCCAGGTTGGTCGTTGATCTCACAGTTGTTCGTTCCCATATAGATTACTCGTTGCAGTGGTCTTGGTTATCGTCCCCTTCGTGGTGCTTGGCATCTGCATCCATTGGTCGTTCTTTGAGGTGATTGTGCGGATCATCTTGGTACTTGTTGTCTTCATTCTCAATGGAGGTGCGTGACCGATCATAGTTAATGGAAAAAAACTACCTGACTGACTCTGTCAGCAAACGAAATCCAATACTGTAACTAATGAAAGTATGAAGTATAGCTTGTTGTTAACATTGATGTGTGAGAAGCGGTTAATGAAAGACAAAAAATTCAGTGAATTTTAATATTTTTTTCACCGAAACTGCCATATTTCCCCGATTTTTTTTTTTTTTTTTTTTTTTTTTTTTTTTTTTTTTTAACCTTTTTTGTATGTGTTTTATGGTATAGGTGTATTCAGTTTCGTCGTATTTGGAGCAGTAACGAAAATGTTGGCAAAAACATCGCACTCGAAAAAAAAATTGGCGAACTCTGAAAGCTACTCCGAATAGGGTTTTATAATGTTTTTTATGTTGTTGTTGTTTTTTTGCCCATTTGTTTTTTGTATGTTTGTATTATGCCTCTGCATAGTTTGTTTGCAAAAGTTTCAACAACATTGTTTATAGCGATGCGGCAAAAAAACCCGAATTTTTTGTCTTCCATTAACCGTTAGTGGGCATTTCGCCAAAGTTCAACTACTGTCATAGGGGCATTTTGCCAAAGTTTCACTACTTTCATAGGGACATTTTGCCAAAGTTTCACTACTGTCATAGGGGGCTTTCACCATACCCATGCCTTTTAGGCTTATTTGACGAAATACCCCAACTTTCAAGGGCGTTTCAATAATTTTGCCCCGAAAAACATAGAAATATAAGCCTTTAGGGCTGCGTTCACCCCCCTGCAGTAAACAGTTGAAACCTTTTATAGTGCTCTTGATGTATTTTTTTTTTTTTTTGTCGCCCATTTGTTTTTTGTATATTTGTATTATGACCCTGGAGAGTTTGTTTGCAAAAGTATCAACAACATTGTTTGTAGCGATGCGGCAAAAGAACATGAATTTTGGGTCTTCCACTAACCGTTAGTGGGCATGTCGCCGAAGTTTCACCACTGTCATAGGGGCATTTTGCCAAAGTTTCACTACTGTCATAGGGGCATTTCGCCAAAGTTTCACTACTTTCATAGGGGCATTTCGCCGAAGTTTCACTACTGTCATAGGGGCCTTTCACCATACCCACGCCTTTTAGGCTTATTTGATGAAATACCCCAACTTTCAAGGGCATTTCAACAATTTTGCTCCGAAAAACATAGAAATATAGGCCTTTAGGGCTGCGTTCACCACCCCCCAGTAAACAATTAAAGCCTTCTATACTCCCTATGTCCGGGGCAGTAATCCAGCAGTGTAGCTCAGTTGGTTAGGCGTGCAAGTGGCATCCAGGAGGTTGTGGGTTCGAGCCCCATAACTGCCTGGTGCGCACTTAGTGCCAACCAGCGGTGATAGGTTGCCCAACACGGGTGCAAGTGCGAGTGTGAGTGGTTTGCATGTGGTGTGTGAGAGGTGTTGGCCTTAGACACTGCTGTTATTTGGTTGGGGGTGGGGGATGTTGATAAGGGAGGTGCAGCTAGCCGGAACCCAACCTGAGGGCCCAGCCCATCCTTGACCACCACTGTTGGGGCGGGGGCAACATGTATCCTCTCTGATGGGTGGAGGGAGACAACAAAGCTATGTTCGCAGGGGTCCCCTGTATAAGCCTTAGGAGTAGTGGTAGGTAGGTAGTGAAGGTGAATTGAAAGAATTTGAAAGGTGATGAAAGATTTGAGAGAAAAAAACGAAAATAAAAATAAAAACTCCAATGGCAGTATACGTCAGTAGGCAACGCTACACTACTCTCCACATGCACAAAAGACAGAAAGTTATGGCAATGTATCTTCCCATGTTCTAGGCAACGCACATTTCGAGAGGAGAGTAGTGGAGCGAGGCCCAATAACCTCACACGGTAGGACTTCGCGGAGAGGCTGACTGGTGACTGTCCACGAAACGGGACTCGTCGCTCCAGCAGACTCTCAACAAAATTGCTTCGTTCGAGAATTCTAGATTCCTCGCGTCGCTCCACCCATCTCGATTCGAATGGACCCCAACAGAAAGCAAAAACCAACTCACGATCTTCCCATCGAGGGATGCCTTCCGAAAGTTCGAGATTTGTCCGTGGTGTCTGAACGATCGGAAAACAGAACGAGGTTGCCACCTGCGAAGGGCTAGACAAATTTAAGGGACCGCGAGCCGGCGGCGGGGTTGTGCTGAGAGCAGTTCGCGGCATGGCAAGGTGTGGTTAGGGTTTCGAATTTAAGCTTGCGCGCCTAAGTCGCCATATCGTCGAACCGCGCTGCGCGCCTACGTCGACGTGTGTTGGAATCGAGCTGCGCGCCTACGTCGCTGTGTTGGAATCGTGCTGTGCTGCGCGCCTACATCGCCGTGTGTTGGAATCGTGCTGTGCTGCGCGCCTACGACGCCATATCCTGGAGCCCTGGTGTGCGCTTCCTGCCACTTTTCTGCGCCCCGATTTTCATCCCAATTAATCAGGTCTTGTAAGTTCGGCAACTTCCTCCGACGTCCGAACTGCACGATTGAGCCGCAGTGTTAGACGTGGAAAAAACAGCAAGTCCGATTATCGGTGAAGGAAGGGTATCCCTTCGGCCCACTGCGGGAGTTCAACGGCAGGTTAGTCCCTGACCGGTTCTCTGCTTGTGTCTCCCTCCATCCCTCTCCCCATCCGTCGCTCTTCCGTCTGGCCCTCTCTCACCCTCTCTCTCGTTGTCTTCCGGTCCCTCTCTTTCCCTCTCTTCACTTTTCTACCTCTCTCTTTTCCTCTCATGCTCTCGCCCTATCTCCCTCTGTGACTCCCCGTCTCTCTCACCCAGGCGCTTGAGAGATCAACACCATCATCAGTCATATAGCACACAGCATAATGGTAGGTATGTAAAAAGCAGTGTTGGGGCGCTAGTCGAGCTATGGTTGATTGCCGAAGTACCTTTGTCAGCCGTGTGTCCAGGATCATGTGTTGTAGCTGCTGTCTGCCCCCTAGACCGGGCGGGTTCTTCGAACTACTTTTGTCGATCTTTTGTGTCGGATCATCTGTTGTAGCTGTTCTGATTCGTTCATTGTATAATCGAAGCTGAGTTTTTTTGGTTTGCATCTGATAAGTCAGTGTGTACTGAACTGAACTATGCGATGGCCGATCTTGGTGTTGTTTTCTCTCTGCATGTCCTGACCTTTGTGATGGCCGATCTTGGTGGTGTTCTCTCTCTGCATGTCCTGACCTTTGTATGCAACTGACGTTGTGGTGCGTGCTGTTTCTGCGAATTCTTTTCTTCCTGTCAAAAGCAAATAGATTTCGGTCAAGCTCAAATAGATCAGGTTTGTATTTCACTCCCTGCCTTCTTTGACGGCGGTTGACCTTCGCTGGGGTATTTCATCGTCGGTATTATTGTCATTTGGCGATGGCTACCTGAGAATACGAGATTGTCTCTACAGGAGTGCGTGGTGTACTCTGCCATGCATGTAGCACTGGCCTCTGGAGCCTCCCCTGGAGGAATGGGACTGGGAGGAATAGATGGCCTGAACCACTGTGTCGGTGTAATACGTGGAAGTTAATTCGCATCTGAGTTGTATTTTGGAGCTTATCTTGACGGAGGGGGGCTCTGATGTATTGGAGGGGGGCTGTGATGTATGGAATTCACGGTGTTCGTGGTCACGATACTCGTTAAGGTTTAAAATATAATTATTGTTTTGAATTACTTTGTTTCCTTTTGGACTTTAACGATTTTTTTTTCAGGTGAGCGGGAAGACGGTCGGAGAATGGGTGACGACGTGGATTTCAATGACATGTCCGACGGCGCAATGGGCGAGAACTTTGACGAGGATGAGGAAGAGCCCAGCGCAGGCGCGTATGAACCGCACAAGGAGGGCGAGGAGAAGGACATTACATCAGATGGAGGAGTGAAGAAGCTCCTTGTGAAGGCCGGCGAGGGGTACGAAAAGCCAGAGAAGGATGACGAGGTGTCTGTGCACTATACTGGGACTCTGCTGGATGGAACGCAGTTCGATTCCAGCAGAGATAGAGGGGAGCCGTTTACGTTCAAGCTGGGTCAGGGACAGGTCATAAAGGGATGGGACAAGGGTGTGGCTACTATGAAGAAAGGGGAGAGAGCGATCCTGACCTGCGCACCGGAGTATGCGTACGGTAAGGCTGGATCGCCGCCGTCCATTCCGCCGGACAGCACGCTCAAGTTCGACGTTGAACTTTTGTCCTGGACTAGCGTGAAAGACATCTGCAGGGATGGCGGCGTGCTGAAGAAGGTCGTGAAGGAGGGGAAGAAGTGGGAGAAACCTCGCGAGCTTGATCAGGTCACCGTGAAGTATGAGGTGAGGTTGACTGATGGCGGCAAAGTCGTGGCCAAGAGCCCGGAGGAAGGCGTGGAGTTTTACGTGAAGGAAGGCCACTTGATCCGAGCTATACCCGCTGCCGTGCCGCATATGCACAAGGGAGAAGTTGCTCTCCTCACAGTCCGCCCTGACTACGGATTTGGGGAGGGCGGTCGTGAGGCGGAGCCGTCGGTTCCCCCGAATGCTTCTCTGACGGTGGACCTGGAGTTAGTTGGTTGGAAGACGGTCGAGAACGTGACCGACGATGGGCAGGTGGTCAAGAAGGTGTTGAAGGAGGGAACAGGGTATGAGAAACCTAACGAGGGAGCAACCGTGAACGTTAAGCTGCTGGGAACCCTGGAAGATGGGAGTGTGTTCGAGTCCCGGGGGGTCGACGAGGGCGATGAACTGTTAACGTTTGTAACGGGCGAAGAACAGGTTATCCCCGGGCTAGACAAGGCGGTGTTGCTCATGAAGAACGAGGAGAAGGCGGTTATCACGGTTGGACCGGAGTACGGCTACGGCGCAACTGAGTACCGTGGCAATAAGGGTGTTGTTCCGCCGAACTCGAAACTGACGTTTGAGGTGGACATGGTTTCGTTCGTGAAGGAGAAAGAGTCTTGGGACATGGATAACGCCGAGAAGGTGGAGACTGCGGCCAAGAGGAAGGAGGAAGGGAATGCGCTGTTCAAGGCGGGGAAAATTGTCAGGGCGTCGAAGAAGTACGAGAAAGCGGTCAAGTTGATCGATTACGACTCGTCCTTCGACGACGAGCAGAAGAAAGTGGCAAAAGCATTGAAGATCGCGTGCAATCTGAACAACGCGGCATGTAAGCTCAAACTCAAGCAATTCAACGAAACCGTGAAGCTGTGCAGCAAAGTTCTGGAGAGCGACTCGCAGAATGTCAAGGCGCTTTACAGAAGAGCACAGGCATACATGGGCGCCGACGATCTTGATCTAGCGGAGTACGACTTGAAGAAGGCGACGGACATCGATCCCGAAAATCGGGATGTCAAGTTGGCAGTTAGAGAGTTGAAGAGGAGACAGAGAGTGCAGAACCAGCAGGAGGCCAAACTGTACGGGAACATGTTTGCTCGCCTCAGCAAGATGGAGGAAATGGAGGCTAAAGAGAGCAAAGCTTCTGACAATGACATGAAGGTGGACGCCCCTCCTCCGGCGGTTCCCGTAGCATGAAGACGGTGAAGGGGGATGTGAAGTCGGCTATGAAAAGAGTTGAAGAGGTGACAACGAGCAGGAGGGGAGACACGTTTGCTCTCTCTTAGCTAGCAAGAGGGAGGAAAGAGAGCAAAAGTTCTGAGAATAATGTTAAGGTGGATTTCTCTCCTCCGGCCATTACCATAGCATGAAGGCGACGAAGTAGTTGATCGAGGTGATGGGGACGGGTTTGTTAGATGCCGATGCGGGTTGGTTGGAGAGTTTGCCTGCCACATGTTCTCTTCCTCAGCAAGATGATCTGTCCTCTTCCCGAGAAAAATGACTGGTAGGTACACCGATTGTCACTTCTCCACGAAAGAGCGAGGGCGGGTTGTTGTCGAGTGTTAGTTTCTTTATCGCGTGATATTAGTTGGTATGATCACAAGGTAGGTGAAGTTTTGACACTGCGCAGTAGGTATTGGAGTTTGTTTAGGAGGCGGCGGAAATGATGGGAAATGTGCAATCTGGCGTGTAGGTAATGTCGTGAGGGCGTCTTAATTTGTTCTGTGCAATTTGTTGACATTTTTTGAATGGTTGTTGAAGTGGATGGTGGAAACACTTGTAATGGCCAGCAGTGTTCTGAGTGAGTCTGTGAAGAGTGCAGCCTACGTGGAAATCGTTTTGCTGTTCATTTGAATCTTCAATTTTGGTATCTTTTGCCCTGTGTTGATCAGCATGCTCTATTGCCCGGATGATTGAGTTGGTCGTTGATGATATGTGCTGGAGATGAAACTTTTATTAGTGTCAGTTTGGCAGGCGCCAAGTTGGTGAACGTTTTTCTTTTGCGCTTGAAGGTTTTGGATTTACACAGCCCGGTACATTGACGTGCGGCTTCCGTGTATTTCGCCTTAAATGTGGAGGGGTATTGTACTGGTGGTTTGAGAAAGGTTGGGGCTGGGCCATTGTTCATGGTGGTTGTGAAACACATCTGTTACTCTGGAAGACAGCTGATAATCTGGTTGTGTGTCTGGTTGGTTATTTGTTATGTTCTAGAAAATGGGGGCAGCACGATGACCTTTTTGGTCTGGTGCAGGTTTATGTGGTACCAAGAATTGTACTTCTGCGTAGTGTAAATTGTGGGGGGCAAGTGAATTTTCGATCTCTATTTTGTTTGACATGATCGGCGAAAGCTATAAAGTATCAGGCTGTGCGTGGCAGTTGAATACGATTTGTAGTAGTAGTGTCAACTTGTTAAGGGAGGGAGTTGATGAGACTTACTCTTGCATGTCCACGGCAGTGTATACTCACATCTAAGGCTTGCCTGCACAAGACCCACCTCCTGTGACATGGGATCAATTGGGCATGACTACCGTCTTCACCCGAATAGAACGCCCGGTCATTATCGCTGCATCTGGACTGAAAAATGCCCCAAATACAGCTGTAATGACCGGGCGTTATGTTCGTTTGAGGACGGTAGGAATCTAATCTCATTTCCTGAGTGTTTTTTAAGTCTGTACGAACATTTCCACCGTCACTGCACGACCCCAGCCTTGCGGTCAATCAATCGGCCAATTGCCTATACACAGCCCCCGCCTTGCGGAAAATCGCCGATTGCCCACTCAGAACTTTTCGGGGCTCGTGGCTATCGGAGCACAATGGTTGGTGGTGCCAGCCAAAGAATAGAAAAAAGTGCGACGAAGGCAGTTCGGAAAATCTGTAGCTTGGCGTGCAGCATGACGGCATTACATGCGTCCCCTGAATACAACGTACGAGTTTAGACTGAAAGATGGTCCAAAATTGAGCTATAATGACCGTACGTTGTGCTCGGGGGAAGACTGTAGGCCACGTGGCATCAATTGGGACTTAATTTCATTTTCTGAGAGAGCTGGGTGACGACGGGAGACGTTGTTGGGGGTTGGCCCTAGCAAACTGTTATGGGTAGATGTTGCACTCACAGACAGTTGACAGTGCTATGGGAGAACTGGGCAAGGAGGGGAGATACTGCCCGATGCAGTGGTTATGGGTAGATGATGCAATTGCCCTAGCAAATTGTTATGGGTAGATGATGCACTCACAAACAGTTGACAGTGCTATGGGAGAACCGGGCAAGGAGGGGAGATATTGGC